GTATTTGCAAAAAAATAGCATTGTTACATTGTAAACACATATTTTGGGAATACAAAACACTTTTCAGAATTGGAAAACCCATCTGTATGTTGAGTTATAAAATTTTCTGTAAAGGTGATTTTTCTTAATTGATAAATAGTAATTTCACATTTGTTAATTATTATAAAAATGATTGACAAAAATCTTTACTATTTGATTTTATTATTTGATTTCCCCTATTTTTGTGACTATACTAATATCTAACACCCCAACCATATATGTAATAAGCCATTATAATATAATCTCCACTAATTACTACATGGTTATAAATTATCATAATAGCAAGTATGAAGGAGTAATCTCAATCCTTTATGATTCATTCTTATCTCAATGTAAACAATGTGAAATTAGGTTTGCCAAAGGTTCAAGAAAGGGAGAAGAAAAGGCTGATGAGCATTTAGATTGGCATCTTATACAAAATCATAAGGTGAAGGAGAAAGCCAAGAAGGCACAAAGTAGAAATTGGCATGTTACTGAGGAGGTTTGTACTTTTGGATTACTAATTTGAAAGATTTTTTATTTATTTATTTTGTTTACTAACAAACAACAAAATGTTTAGGACTTTGTTGACTCAAAGGATTCATTTTCTCAAAATGCAAGTACGTTAACATTCTTTGAGTATGATACTAGCAGCTCTGAACCAAAGAATGTCAAAAGAAAAAATGAAATTGTTGATAATGATAGAACATCCAAATCAAAGATGATGAAAATGGATAAAAGTGGTGACAGCTTTATCAATATAAAAAGAGAAACTTGTTAATGAAATTTATTTTTAAAAAGATAATCTTTGTATTTGACTAAATATTATTTTATATAATCATAAATGCTTATTATTATTACTGTAATCATTTAGTATGAATCAGATATCTTGGACTTCATTATTTTACTGGTTAATTAGATAGTTAATCTGTTCAATCCAATTATACAATTAAGAATCTTTTTTTTTTGTTAAAATGAAATTGAATTGGCATCAATATGTATTGACAATGTAAGCAGCAGATGCACCAGGTTGGAAATTTGACCACAGCATTCATACAAATTTTGCTAAGATCTGTGGAGAAATTCCAAATTTGGTTAGCACACCCCATAATTTCATAGTAAAAAAGCTTGTTTATATCTATGTAGCAATTTTTTTCACCTTCAAAATACTTCTGATGGTGCTGTAATTCCTTTGGTTCCATAGTAGATCTGATGTAAATTAGCTTCATATTAACTATTTTGTCTAGGCAAATATCATTGATCATATTACATTGGTAATACAATTGTGATGTTAAAAAATGATATTGACCCCTGAAATTTTTGGTAATACCAATGTTCACTTTGTCTGGTTTTGTTACAGCATACCCCATATAAAACTGTTAATTGACAATCTGTTTATGAATGAGTGAAATGTCAATCCTTTACTAATAAAAAATGGGGAAATATCTTATTATTATATGATGCAAGTCACTTAGTCCCACAATTTTTTATTGGTTGTGTAGATTTTCAAATTCTCCAAAAATGGAAATGCAACACCCCAAAATAAATTGTGTATTTGAAGCCAAGACCTTCC